GCTTTATATCATGTTATAATGAAATTCCCTCATCATACACATACCCAGAGTGTTGCTTTGACTCATTCATGCATGTTTGAGCAATCCTTGAATCTCCTGTGGTAGCCATGTGGAGCTGCCTAAACATTTGCTGGTAAAAAGCCCCGCCTTTTTACACAAAGCTCCTCCCTGGAGCTCTGTCTGCAGCCGAGCTCCCGCCCCACAGAACACCCCAAGACGTGCTGAAGTGGGAGTTTCGGAGACAGATTGAGGTTCTTAAAAGAGACAGAGGCCAATTTCAAGGCGTTTAGATATAAAGCCAAAATTATTTTTAATATATACAGCATTTTCACAACAATTGAAGGTAAAATAGTTACTTGAATGTGGTATAGAATTGAACCACGGGCCTGGAATATACATAATACCCCCGCCCTTTACCAACTGACAAACTTCAATTTACCATTAGACATCCACATCTGGTTTTGACTTCACCTCTGTGATAAATATTAGACAAGTAAAGTCAAGAAGGGGATATGACTGAGCCTAAACAAGACAGCTCCACGCTTGTTTCTCTGACGCAGCCGTGCAGCGAGTCTGACATAACTTAGAAGCTTCTAAAGCTAAGATGCTGAGACAGCGTGACTGAGATGGGCTAAATTTATTAACTCTGACAAAAGACTGCTATGGTTTTTCTTTAAGATGTCTGTCAAGTTACTGGGATCAATGCTGTTACTTTCATCTCAGAGCTCCATGATGCAATAATGACATAAAAAAACTATACTTAAATTTAAGAAACATCACATTTAGAGATCACTAAGTGGGTCAAACAGAAAGAAATAATTTCATTTTGGCCTTGTGCAATACAAGAGGATGCACACATCTCAAGAGTGTTTTCTTTCATTAGATACCCGACTGTTTCCTTGCAGTGATTTTTCAGTGCTACCCCCGCAGGTCTGAGTCTCTGTGTGCCTTTTGTCATCTGTAAAATACACCATTAATCACAGAGTTGTATCTCTCTACGGTGATCGTAGACAATAACTTTTTTTAATARGCCCTTTCCCGGGCTGTCACTCAGATCCCCGCTTCCTGACAAAATATTAATAACAATAATAAACATCTCCAGCTCAGTTAGGCGAGGTGTTGGTAAAATTGAAACAAGGACATGGCGTATCATATCTCTCATCATCAAGCAAATTACTGTGTTTCACACATTTTATAAGCAGGAGGAGCCGAGGGTACCAAATTCATCTCGTCTACATTCTCTGACAAGCCTCAGGGCTGCTCCATAATTAAGAGGGGGATGCTATTCAACACTCATCAAGCATCGGGGATCTTTGTATTTGCTGGCATGAATAAAACAATGGAAAGAAAAAGACAACATTACACTCCGTGTATTTGATGAAAAGCATCACATTTATTGGCAGCGTTTGCCGCGCACGCTCACAAACAGTCGCAGGCTTTTGCAAACGACATATAGGTACAGTGTGTCGAACAGACGTCCGGCACCAGTCGTCACTTCGGAGCAATCTGGCCATCTTTGTAGGGCACAGGATGCTAACGGCGGGACTTGGCAGGCCGAACGGACCGCAATAGCAGCAGAATGATTTAGATAGCGGCGACCCTACAACTGCTGATCCATTAAACTTTCATGGGGACTTTATAAATTAAAGCTGTGACCGCAAGAGCTTGAACATTCGACTCAATTACAGCGATTGTACAGTGTATTAAAGTTTTAACGAGCCCCCGAGCTCGAAGAATAAGGGGGCGGATGGGGATAGAAAAACACATGGTACCAATTCTGGTTCGATGGCCTTCAGAGGRTTTGAGTGCATCTGCTGCGTTATCAAGACCATCCCCCCTCCTCTACCCCCCGCTGCCTCTTCACCACCCCACATCACCGCAGYGGATTACACAGCATGACACACATGACTGGGAGGAGGGCTGAGGAAGAGGTGCTACAGGGCCAGGGTCTCTCGCAAACTTGGTGAGGCCGGCGAGCGGAGTAATTATTTATTTATTTTGGTGCCTTCCATTTTAGCGGCCCATCTTTTGCCTCGTGTGCGGCCCCACGCCCTKCCCGCCGATCGTTATCAAGCCAGCGGCCCATACTGCATCGCAGATGGGGCAGACAGAAGGGAGYGGCGACAGCCCGCTTGGTTTTTGGAGGGATGAGGAGTGTGCAGCTGAATGAGAGAAGAGGGAGGGAAAGAGTGTGCGAGAGAGAGAGAGAGGAGAGAGGGGGGAGAAGGATGGAGAGAAAAATGTAATCTGACTCCACATCAATTATGGAAAAAGATGTAGAGTTTAGTTAAACTAAAAAAAATGCTACAATCAGCTTAACTGTGATTACAAGCAGATAGAGAGAGAGGTGTAATTGTTGCACACGCTGAACCCTGAAAAATCCTACATGACATTTATGAACATTTCCTGTGGCGTTAACGGTTTATAAAAAGGTCAGCGTTGACACTTCTGACTTCACAAAAGCTTTATTTCATCCACCCATAGAAGGCGAACTAGTTTGTGCCCGGGTCTGTGTGCTTGTGTGTCTGAGTAAGTGTGTCTGTTAGCAAAATTAACCACTGGATGGATTTCATTAAATCTTACTGAAAGTAATCTTTGGATGTGCATCCACAACTGACTAACTTTTAATGGTCAACAAGATTCAAGACGGCTGCCACAGCCAAATGACCTTATAAAACACAAAACAAGCCACAACTCAGTCAATTTTACATTTATCAACCTACAATTTAGTGTGCTAGTAGCTGAGACTGAGACTCAACTTTGAGTATTACAATAACTATTTGAAGTCAACTCTGCCTGTCTGTTAAAATACCTCATGAACCAGTGAATAGATTTAACTGAAACTCTTGAGGATGTCCTCAGAGTTCAAAATTGACCAATCAGGGCCTCTGTAGCCTCCAACAAAAACCACTCGTGGGCACACTGACTGTCCAAAAAACATAAGGGGCCCTGATTGGAAACATACTGTAGTGGTTATTATGTTTCAGCTGGCAAGAAGTTATTTAAATGATGCAAGAAGCTTCTCGTTTCTTGGACATGTTGAAAAACACATCTTGTGGTTGTGGAAAATAAGTCTTCAGAAATGTCAAATTTCCAGATTGTGGTGAGCGAACAGAAAACTAAGGAGACTGCTGAAACAACTAAAGTTGGGCTACAAACTAGCCAACATTAATAAAACCTGGAAGATTTCTTTCCTTCAACCTAACCAGATCCAGTGTTAGATGGAAGTCGGCGCTCTTTTAGGACAAGACGATGAAACAATTTAAAAAATGAGCATCGACGTTGACGTGAAGTTGGAATATTTTTATTCATGGTAACATTTAGGACCAAAACTGACATTTTATTGTAATCATTAGCATTGAGAGCATTTTTTTTATTTAAATAGTGTCATTTRAAACACCATAATGAGACATGGCCAAGTGTAAAATAAAATGTTAAAAATATCACTATCACAGTTTCACTATTTAGTTCACATTGAGTGTATAACTTCCACAAACATTTTTTTGTTATTTAGCTCACTGTTCTTACATTCGCTAATGTTKACAAAATATTAAATTTAAATGTTAAATGCTATGTCTAAATATTAAATTCTAAACTTAAACGTGTATGTRAAAAAGTTAAATTTTAAATGCAGCTAAATG